CCTGGAAGGACCACAGTTAAGGTTGCTGGATTATTTCACACAACACACAACACACACACACACACACACACACACACACACACACACACACACACACACACACACACAATGACTCCCCACATCAATATCCTAACCCTGTCTGTCGTGTTGCTACTACACCTGCCTGTCTCTCAACAGCCAAATTAAAAAGCTCCTCACTCCTGCAGTTAAATCACCCTCAGACCTTTGAGGCCCTTCAGCACAGCGGAGGCCCAGCACGACGGGATGGAGCTGATCTGTGACATAAAGCTAACCAACCCACCGATCTTAAAGTGGCCAAGCCGGATTTTATTCAAGATTTCCTACCGCTCAACGACAGGAAGCGGATTCTCTTTGCTCTCATTATGCAACAATTTAAAAAGACTCCGAAATCTATTTGCGACATGGCCCTGAAAGTTTAGCTCGATACTTTCACCTCTGTGAAAGAAAAACAGATGCTGAATGAATAAAGGTGTAACTAGTCACTGAGAAGAAAAGACTGACAGACAAAATAGACACTTTCAAAAATTGTCCTCTGTGATGGGACTGCGTCAGCACTTTCTTAGTGAGAAGATAAACTGTTTCACAGCCATCAACAAAAGCAGATGCTCCGAATAACTGCGGCATCTGCAGATAACTCACTGAAGCACATCACAGCCTGTCTCAAAGCTAAAGTACAGACTGTAGTTTCATATTTGTATTCCAGATTAATAGCTGACTTTGTTCGTGTAGTGGTTAAGAGTACTGTCACGATATCGAGTGTCGCTGTCTGCGCTCTGAGTGGTTGGTTTGCAGAGATTGCTGCCTCCTGATTGGACCATTCCATGATACAGGACATATAAACTCAAGCAACCTCTCTCTTGTTTCTTCCCACATCCCAACAAAGAACAGAGATTCCATACAGTTCTGTGAAAAGAGGTAATGGATGAATGGATGGATTCACATTTTCACTTGTTTATTTTTCAGGAGCTTAGGCTAGACATTTGTCATTTGTTTATCTTTTTTCACCACTAGATGTCACTAAATTCTACACAGTGAGCCTTTAAGGAGATTTTAGAGAGTGCTGCTGCCTTTCCTTGGGCTTAGGAAGACTGGAGAGCCTATAACATGTTATGTCCAGGTTTCCTCTAAAATCTAGTAAAACAAGAACACATGTGAGTGTTTGCATGTGTCTATACACACCCAAAAGAGTAGATCCTGCAGTGTTTGCTTTGTATCCTGTGGGTCAGGCTGTACTTCGGGTCTAGGCACACAGCCCAGGCACCCTTTGACCCCTCAGCAGCTTCTTCACGAGCCAGCGATGAACAAACCACCTAGACAGATAAGAACATTTTCATTTTATAAGCCTTTTTTTCATAGATGAAAAGGAGCAAAACTTATTTTCAAAGAACTGTTATGTTGCCTGAGTCCTGCCTTGTTAATATAATGTACGATATGAACCAAAAAAGTACTATATTAGAAAAAAGAGATATTTCCACTGGAGGTTAAGAGGAAATTGAACAATTATGTGTAGGCCATGTGTAACTGTGCACATACACGCAGTAAACATGTCAGTGTGTTGGTTTAATGTTGCACATCTGCAGTTTCACCAGTGACTAAGGTTTAAAGCTGCTCAGATGTTTGCTGTCTGGTTTCTTTAAGCTTCGTCTGCTGCTGAGGGAGGAACAATATTCGCTCAGACATGATGATATGCTACATAAATCTGTCTGTATCTCTGCTGCACACTATTTAAATATAAATTAAATAATGTGTGTGTGCATGTTACAGCTATATAAATGTAAAATAAGAACAATGGAAAACCGAGAAATGATTAGCTCCTTCCCAAAATATCCTGTTGTCAGGGAACAATGAGCTCGCTATCCCAGCCTCTTATATAATCACATCTATTATTCACTTGAATTGACATTTTTTCCATTCCGTTTACATTTTGAGGCTAGCGCGAGAGTTGTTTTTTAAAGAGATTTCAAATTTTACAGTTTCAAAATAGTCTCTCTCAGAATCAGTATTCCTAGATGCAGCTGTTAGAATAAATGTCTCCTTCGAATCAGAACGTCCAGAGACTGGTAGGTGAGGTGAAGATGTGTCTGATAGGCTGGTCTGAGGGAGGAGCAAAAGGACGAAGGGATGTGAGTAGGGATGAGGGAAGGAGAGGAGAAAATGAAGGAATGCGGGTGGGGACAATTGGAAGGTGCGACATTCTTCGCCCTTTACGCTCGACTACGGTGAGGAGAGAAAAAAGGATGAAGGGATGTGGGTAAGGATGCGAGAAGAGACGATGTGGGTAGGGATGAGCAGAGGTAAGAATGAAGTAGAAGAAGATTGAATGAATGAAAGGAAAACAATAGGTAGGTTGATAAATATCAGATGAACACTGGTGATGGGTTGATTAGGTTTATGCCGGCACCATCTCAGAGCCCATCTGCTGTTATCTGATGCCGTAGGAGCACAAAACATAAACAGCATCACTGTCTGTAGGAGTGTTGGGTTCAGAAGACATTAAAATCTATCTGCATACAAATATAGATAAATTAAAAGGCTGATAGACGACGAATTTCGGTAAATGTAAAACTTATTTACATCATTGGTCAAACTAGAAACTAGAGGGCTTGAAAATCATTTCCCCTTCCTGCAGATCCTGAATATTCACATGCAGAACCTGTCTGTAGAGACTGATGTTGGTTTGACAGACGAACAGAGGTGTGGTTGAGACGTGTTTCTGCTCCCGGTCATCTGCTGTGAAGAGCACAACTGTACTCTGTGCTACAGCAATGTATTTAAATGAATTTGGAAACACGCTTCATTATGCTCATCAGTGTTAATTTGTTCCAGTTGAAAGCATTCAGCAGCAGACGCACACACACACACACACACACACACACACACACACACACAGTGCACGGTGTCCAGTGAAATGCAGAATCACTCTCGATTATTTTGCCACTTTACATCTGCAGACATATCGGTGGCATCGAACGTCTGCATAGTTCCACTGAACACTGAGCTGAAGTAATGTTTGCATTGACCATACATCACAATGAATGAACTGTCATTACTGTTGTGAAGCTAATCTGAGACAATCAGCTCCACTGTTTATGATCATCATAGTAAAATATAGACAGGGTTACTACAGTTACAGTTATCCTTCTATAATTCTACTTTACAGTATGTTATTGCAATAATACCATGGACGGAATGTGGTATTTAGTACCTTAATACCTTTCAGGCTGTTGAAATACATTGATAACACTTTCTCTTATCTGTGTGTGTGTACCAGTGCATGCATGTAAGATACACTGGCTGCTATTGATTGGACAGTGGCATCTCTTTGAGTAACGGCTCCACCAGCCGCTGTGTCAGTCAGCATTACAGCCGAGGACGCTGCTATGCCCCGACTAACTCCCTCCACCCTCGCCTGTCACCATCTATGATGGACAGTTCCCTTCAACTGCCTCCCACACACACACACACACACRCACACACACACACACACACACATAAACGTACGCACACACTCAAAGACAATCTCTGCCTCTCTGTTCCTGTCCTTGTCCCTTCCTTTCACACACAAATATGCACAAGTGGCTGCATACACATACACACACGTCCTGAGGCTTATTCATTTCTCGCTGAATGTCTGCTTTGTGAAAGATACAAAATGAGTGCTTAGTCATTTGGAGTAGAATACTGTTGCGGCTGTGCTGTGTGAGGCGGAAGAAAATAGGTTGCTGATTTATCCCCAAGTCAATTTCATTACAACTAAAAAACCAGAGCACATGTAATCCAAAAGAAAAATCCCCCCAAAAAATCGGTCTGTGTTTTTGCATTACAGTCACAATGTGGCAAACAAAATTAGGACTTTCTCAATCCCTCTGCAACGATCAGATTATGATATCGGACACCTTGATCTATTCACAGTAATTTAATTTACTGCCATAGTCCGACAAACAAACCATTACATCACGCTGATTGAGTATGAATAGAGGGGCTGTGAGTTCCATCTGTGTGGTAATCAATGGAGTAATGAATTATGTGTGTGCTGCCGAGCAAGACCAATAATCTTTGGCTGAGCTGAATGTGAACAAGGTGCCGGTGTGTGACAGAAACAGGTTGCTCTGGTTTCTACAGTACAACAACAAAGACCTTTCAAAATAATGCACTTCCTGGCCCCAAAGAGCAAAAACTTATCCCTTTTCTATTCGTGCATCTGTTTAGAATATTTGGTTTATTTGAACAGGAAGCAGCAAATTAAAAACATTGCGTTACTTGATGGGACATGGGTCTGTATCTTGCAGCACAGAATCGTGTTCAGCCAAAATCACAAATACAAAACAAAAAGATTATCACATCAACAGCCGAATGAAGCAGAAGTGAACAACCAGGGGATTTAAAGCCAAGAAAACAATACTTTTAGTTCCCTGTGAAGACATGTTCGGATTCTCTTCACATAAAGTCAAGTGTAAAATACAGAATAAGTGGCGCTTTGGAGTGATACGCCATTAAACATGATAGTTTTGGACTGTTCAATTATTATAACCTATGATAATCTTGATCAAGATAATTTAGTTATTTCATTATTTGGGTAAAATAACATAACAATGGGTAATTTTTTCTAAACCCATTTTATTTTGCATGGTAGATATACATTTTTGAAGTAACAAAGCTGAAAAATAAATGTAGTAATACTGTACCTGTAGCCACTGGCTATCGCTGGTGTGGAGAAAAAAAACCTTGGATGAAGATACAGCAAGCTCTAAATTTAAGAGCCTGTGAGCGTTGAATTGATTATGACTCACTTGTGGTGTTGTGATGTAGCTGAGGAACCTTTTGGCTTCTTCCTCCAGAGAGTGACTCTCACTGGCCCATGGCTCCAGCTCTATGTGCCACCGAGGACTCTGCGCACGCACACACACACAGAAACAAGAAAGAAAATTGACAATATACTAATATCAAAGTCACTGGAAAAAGAAAATCAGTGCAAGGATAACAACAAAGGGAGCTTTATTCGTTCAGGTATTAGAAACCGCTTGGCAAAGTCACTGATGGAACTAGGTCACAATGTGCTCGGAGCAGGATTTTCTTCTCCACCTGTGTATTAGTGACAAATAAACTGCTAAAGTTCATTGTGCCATTCTGGTTTTAGTAGAATGGGGGCTGCTGTTTATTCCTATGCGTCCTGTACTGTGAGGTACGGATTATAAATAAAGTTCAGCTGTGTCTGACGGTGGAAAAACGTCGAAAACCTTCACCATCTGCTGGCTGGAGCAGAGCCTGGTGAAGTGCTGCTGTGTGATCACATTCCTGAAACCTGGCGGAGCTCGGCCTTATGCAGTCGTTTCTGCAGGAATGTGTCTGTTTGTGATTAGAGGAGAAGCCTCGAGATGCGGAGCGAACGAGGGAGAGAACGAGAGGCAGAGCAGTGATGCTACAAACCAGTGTTGATTAGTAGCCATGGTGTAAATTATGCTGTGTGATTTCATGGTCGACCGCTTCCCTGCCCGGGCCCCCCCCGCCTGCGTGAGTGTTTTATGAGCACCGCAGTTTACGTGGTTGTTCACAGATCATCTCTGGCGGATCTGACAAGATCGTGTTTGGGTTTGTTTGATGCTGTGGGCACATGTGGAGAATAATCTGTAAAAGGTGCTATGGTGAAGTCAGGGTTGTTTAGGAAAATAAACTAATATTAGGATTGTGTTGGAACTCATTCCCATGTTTCCGTTCCTCTTTGTCTCCTCACAGTAACGCCCTCGACTTCAGCTTTGTGATGGCACGCACAATCCAACAGGCTTCATAGTTCACATGGTTTCATATATAATCCCTGAAAAAATCAGGCTTAGTTTGATTTGCTCTGAAACTGGAGTCTTTTATTATCTTCTAGATTGTGTGTAGATCAAATCTGTCATTCAATCACATTCATTTGTGGATAGAACACAGTTGTTCAAATGTACACAAACACACATTAACATTATAATGTATAATAATAATGCACCTGGATTCAGTGAACTTTATCAGTAGGACAACTGAGAAGCTGCTCTTGTTAAAAACAAAAAGACCATGTGCTTATTCCAAACAGTGGTTACTGTGTGATTCTTTTTACCTCAGCCTCCACACGGTGTTTGTTTTTCAGTTCCTCCATATAAATTTCATTCAGACCACATCTCTCTGTCTAAGCCCACAATCTGACAACAATCCCCGACAAAAACAAGGAAGCAGAAACACCTTTCCAATCAAACGCTGCTTTAAAACATGCACCAGTGTCGGCTAGGAGAATTTTTACAGAGAGAGAAAAAATCTGTCTGTTGTTGACACCTAAACAAGTAATATCTGCCTCTCTGCGTCAGGGGGACACTGAAAAACTCCCAGAGCTCCCTGTCTCCACGCTGCCCTTTTCATCTCCTCTCAGAGTCCTCGCTGCAAAGCTCTGCTGTCAGGCCCCGTACATCAGCCCGGTGCAGGTTGAGACAGGGCTGCTGATCACAGGCCAGATATCTGGGACAATAGACTCACTGGGAGGTTGCAGTGCGTATAAAGTGGAGGTGAACAGGAGCAAGGGGAAAAAAGTTGAGAAGCAAATAGACGGAGCGAGGGGCGAAGTCACGCACAAACACACACATGTAAATCTGACCTTTAGAGGAGAGAAGAGAAGGAATGATTGGGGCATTTCATTTTTGCCAAGGGAGGGGGTGTGCTTGCAAGTTTTCTATTTTAAAGATTTGACTGGAGTTTGTTTGTGTGTGTGTGTGTGTGTGTGTGTGTGTGTGTGTTATGCCTCTGAGCTCTTGCTAAAGTGCTGAATCATCACTGCGTGGTGATGAGGTTGGTGTTAAGCCCCATGTTCAGTCAAGTTACAACATGCCGTCAGCACCTCAGGGACAGTGAAGGAAAGCAGAGTTAATAAAAACACACAGGAAATCATTCAGAGCGGACAAGACTCGACCGTTCAGACCTTCACCCCATGACATTAGATATAAATACACCCCCAGCCTGAGCCTGAGTATTACACCCATAGTGAAGAAAAACACATTTCAAGAATAAAGTCGTAACCGAGAAGAAAGACGGAATGTTACGAGAATAAAGTCTTGACAGAGAGAAAAGACATAATTTAAAAAGAATCAAGTCATAATTTAACGAGAATAATGCTGTTATAGTATGAGTATTAAATTGTAACTGAAAAGAAAGCATAATATTATGAAAATCAAGTCGAAATTGAGAAGAAAGTCTTAATATAACGAGAATAAAGAAAAATATTGTCTTACGAAAAAAGCAGCAAGGAGCCCCTGTGCTCATAATATTATGACTTTATCTTATGTAAAAAAAAAAAAATCTTGTAATACAATAACCTTTCTCTCAAACTCTCTCTTTGTGTCCCTATGAATATTGAAACAACTGAAGAGTCAGCTGAACGACAATGAGTGAAAGAAGTGGACGTGGCAGGTCAAGTGGAAACACTGGAAGACGGTCAAAAACTAAAGCTAAAATGCCAATTGAAGTGAAATTGCTGAAAAAGAACTTGGAGCTGAAAAGCCAGTTAAAGTGTGAGTCAAATCGGCTCCAGTTCAAGAAGGAGAAAAGAAAAACATTTCCAAAGAAACTGCCGGTGCACTGCTTTTGAAATATGTAGAACAGTACGGAAACTGAAATAAACTGAAGTGGCAGCTGAAGTGCAATTTTAAGAGAAATTGAAATGGCAGTAAATAAAGGAAATACTGGACAAAATGTTTCAACCTGAACACTGAATGAAGAATCACTCGAAGTGGAAGAAGAGAAAGGAATTCAAGTGCAAATGTAAAAGCGATGAGTTTGCCAAGACCAGTCAGATGAAGTGGAAGTCCTGTGGGTAATTAGTGAATATTAAATACTGAGGTGTTTTTATTTTTCAAACACAACAATCTGAGACATGAGATATCAGCTGAAAGAACACGAGCAATTTAATTTATTTCAGGAGAAAGTTGATGGATTTTACTGTATTTCCAGCTTATTTTATTTCTCAGGGATACAAAAGTGGTGGCTGATTTTTGATCTCTCTGTTATGGGGCCTCTCTGCTGGGTCTGCGTGTCTTCATGGAGGTTGGGGTGTTAGTGGATCTGTGCCTCTCAGCCTGGGTGTGAGAGAGGTGTGTGCAGCCAGGCCGAGCGTGAATAATCCCCGGGGGAGGAGAGGATGGATGGGTGAACAAGAGATGACTGGATAAAAACAAGTGAAGACTGTCTGCCAGAGCGGGTGAGAAGAAGTGGGAGGTTGAGGGGAAGAGAGGGAGTTGACAATGAAGGGCAAACCCAGACGGAGGAGGAAGTGGAGTTCTACACCTGTGTATGGATTTATGCCGAGAATAAACAAAGTCGATACGTAACAGCCGATGGCAGCGTGGTCAGAGCATCAGAGGAGACACAGCACAATCAGCGCTCAAGAAAACAAACAATAGCATATCAGATGTCTCGGAGCAGCCACAGGTGAGCTGTGTCTGCCCGTCTGGAAACCGTTCTGCGATGGAGGGAGCACTGCCAAGTCGGAAACTGTCTTTCAGCAAAGAGCTCGTTTTTGTTGTTTTTTGCAATTCCTCCTAATCCATGTTAGTGGATGGGACATGAAGCAAACTAAAAAGTAAAAGTACAAGCCAAATCTTTTTTTGTCAGAGATGGTTTCTGTGCCTTGTGTGTACATCAACCAGGTGAAATGTCACGATTGACACCGGAACCGTCACCGCAGCTCCATCCCTGGATTGCTATACCGTGCATAACTCTGTGTCCTACTGCCGGTGTTCGTAACCAAGATATTTTAGCTTCATCCATCTTTAAATACAGTCTATGATATATATACATAATATTATTGGATTTCTATCGGGTTTGACAGCTTCAATAAAAACTCAGTCACGTGCTAAATGAAGGTCAAGACATGATGGATGAGTGAAGTGGTGGTTTAATGAAACATCAGGCGGCTGATTCACAACAATCTTCCTCTGATGTCTAGTGGATGGTGAAAAGACCATGTCAGAGGTTTGTGCTCCAGTGGCCTGTGCTAATGTGATTCAGGGAAAAATAGCAAAAAGAGGTTTTATGTTACTTTGGTGCAGTGCACCAAACAAAACTCTATTGTTCCAGTAAATACCAAACTAAGTCTTTGTTTTAATCCTCACACACCTGCTTTAGGAAACAGGTTCATGCAATATGAGACATTTCACTTCATAAATATGAATGATAACATATAAAAATATGTTTGTATATGACATGAGGGTGATTTTAGTACTAGATCTGTGTACTATAGATCTGCAAATGAGTATTAGATATGTTTTATTTCATGGTCAGATCAAATAATGCATACTGGGTATTTAATTCACATTATTGTCTTATATTAAAAGGATTTTGGTGTAGCTCGACATTATGATACACACATGATAAACACAACAAATCAGCCGCACTAAGCTCCATCATTCTGACTAATCTTCGAGATGCAGGGACTAATCTTTGAGTCAGGCCCGACTCAGCTGCCTCCGCTTCCTGCGGTCGCCTCTATTCCCTCGGCACATCGGCCGATCCCAGCTCACTGCCAGAGTACTCTGAGACACAGAGAGGGTATAACAGAATTAAAGCGGGGGATTACGCTGATCTTTTTTAATAAAGGCAGTAATCTCTGAAGAAGTTGAGCCTCAGTCTCCAAGGCAGAGCGATGTGGGAGAAGCCTGTGAAGGAGTGGAGGGTGGAGGGAAACATGAGCCGGTGAAGGTGGGGGGTGCAGATAGAGGATGAAGAGATGGTGTGTGTGAGAAAAACAGTCGGAAAAGGAAAGAAACCCTTCCCACAAGTGTTGGTTGTGCAGTGGCTTTAGTAAATATGATGAAGTCAATGACAGGTGGAATTTTTCTTGCCGCCATTGGGACACTTAAGCTGTTTTCAGTCA